AAAGACTGACCTGCCTCCAAATAGGATTATACCCACAAGTGTTGGTGGTTATGTGCCATGGAGTCCCTTCAGACTCACAGTGACCCTATATAGGATTTCTGAGGCTGTAAATCTCTATGGGAATAGAAAGGCGCAGAGCAACTGTCAGATTCGAACTACTGACTTTACAGTTAGCAGCCCAGCTGATAATCCACTACCCTAACAGGACGCCTCACCCACAAGTATAGGGGTTAGAATTCCAACACATATTTTGAGGACACACAACTCCAGGTTGTGGGACACAGTTATTTTTCTGCGGAAATGATTAATGGTAGGGGAAGGGTTGGAGACCAGAATTTCGGAAAGTTTAGAAAAGTGATGTGCTAATGTGGCACTATTTGGGGTCCTCCTTAAAAGAAGAGTCAGAATTGACTCAGTGGCAGTGAGTTTTGTTTTGGATTTTTAAAAGAAAATGAATTTTAAAAGATACATTAAAGACAAGTCAAATCTAGTAGGGGATAAACTGGGGGTAGTTTCACAGTTCTTGGGGAAAAGCAAGTTGCATTTTCTTCATAATCTTATTTATAGAGATAAGTCAAATTAAAAAAACAGGTAAAAATGAACAACTTTCACAATGAATCCTAGGCAAATAGGATATTTGCATATATACTACAAAAATGCATGCAGTTTATGTATAAGTAGAAGTTTTGTAACAAAAAATAGTTCATCTTACAGTCCAGGAACAGAGAACCCTAGGACCATCAAAGGAGAAGAGCAGGAGCAGCATGTGGGACCCTATCCAGTGAAGCAGAGACACCAGAGATGGAGACAGAGAGAGCAGCTGAGGACTCTAGACTCATCGAAAGAGAAAGGCTGTGTGCTGGCAGCCAGGAGGCAGGCTTGCAGAATGTGCCCTTCAGTTGTTTAAATGATTATATATTCCTGAGAGCTTTTTGTGTATATAAAACACACACACACAAAAAAACAGAGGGAATAGAAGCAAATACTGTTGAATGATGATGCACAGAGACTGCAATCATTGCAATCAAACAATGAGTGTAAGACTGATGTTCCCCCATGTAAACTAGTCACTCAATTCACAATAAAAACTTTTAAAATAAAAAAGCTTACAAGTGGCCATCTAAGGTACTACTATTGGTCTCTCCTTGTCCAGAAGAAAGAAGAATGTTGAAAATCGAAGATACATGGAAACAACTAGTTTAATGGAGTAATGGACTGCATGAACATCAGTCTCCAGAACACTAAGACCAGAAGAATTAGATGATGCCAAGCTACCACTACCAACAGCTCTGAAAGAGATCGCATTACTAGGTCCTGGAGAGAGTGGGAGAAAAATGTGGAGTAAAATCATAATAAATACCAAGCTTGTTGGTCAGATAGAGACCCTGGATATACAACCCCTAGTCATCCTTCAGGTCTGGAACTGAACTTAGACCTGCAGCTCAATTTTCAGCCAGCAGATTAACAACAATGAGGGGAAGAGTAATACTACTGAGGTAGGCACACCTTAGAGTAATCAAGTATTTAAGATCAAAAGGGCAGCATTTATTCAGGGACAACATTCAGAAGAGTTGGGAAAGAAGGAAGAATGGAAACAAGGGACACAGGAGGAAGCAGAATACGTGATAGTTCATTGAGGGAATTGCAATCAGTGAAATAAAACAAAATGTGTATGAATTGTAGAATTGTATCATGTAAAACTGATAATCTGTAAACTTCATCCAAGTCACAATAAAAAGTTAAGAGGAAAAAAAAAAAATGCATGCAATTTAGTATAGAAAATGAATGACCATTCTGTCACGATGATGGTATTAACTGATTAAAATGTTTTGTCTGTCATGAAGCCAGTGAGAGTTTAACAGACAAATGGTATCCATCTTCTGGATATCTGAAAAGAAACCCCAGTGTGAGACACTGGACTTTGTTTAACAAGTAATAATGGGTTTACAAGTATTTCCTTGAGATAACTCACATAGAGGTTGGAATGTATCTGAGATTGCTAGACTGAAGAATTTACAAATTTCTTGCCAAAAGAAAATGGCAGGCTGGGCAGGGAGACCTTATCAAGCATCTGTTCTGTCAGCTAAATTACTAAGTGAAATAAACTCCTATTGAAGAAGGCCTTTAGGTATTAAGCATACTTTAGAACTACTCGGGGATTAAATTTCTGATTTTTTCCCCCTACTTAGACTGGTGCTAACCACTGCAGGGCCCTAGTGCATCCTAAAGCCAGCTCTTTGGGAAGCTGTGAACACTCTTAATATTAAGTGACATTAGCATTAATGTTTGTAAGTGAAGGGAGAGAAGTGCTCCAACACATGTTGGAGATTAACAAGGAAGTCAGATACCTCTAATCAGAGTGTTCTGAGAATAAAACCAAGTGCACCGAATGCTGTTATTTAACACCCTTTCAGAGTCAGTTAGGGAAGAGAAGCAGCAACTATGTTGAGGGCAGTTTTGAAAAGGATCCCAGAACAGTGTCAAACCCCCTTCACCCACCTACCCCCAATGAACAAGACTGTTAAGAAAGGCAATGACTGTATAAAAACTCCAGGAGAGCATGGGCTAGACTGAGATTATCCAGTACTGATCCCCAGTACCCAGCATCATATCTTGTGTAAAGCAGGTACACAATCATTTATTAACGAATGAATGAGCAAGCATAAGGACACTAACTCATTGAGAATTGCTATCCCTTCCTCAATCTTGTATAAGGATGAGCGCTCTTTGACAGGGAGCTTAAAAGCACAGAGTGGCCACCTAAGGTGCAACTATTGATCTCTCCCTATTCAGAGAAACAAAAGTAATGAAAATTGAAAATGCTTAGAAACAATTAGTACAATGGACTAATGGAGCACATGGACATCAGTCTCCACAACCCTGAGACCTGAAGAACTACCAACGACTCTGAAAAGATCATCTTAGAAAGTCCTGAGTGGGAAAAAAATGTAGAAAAAAATTCAAACTCATCAGGAAGATCAGGCTTACTGGTCAGATAGAGACTGGTAGAACCCTGAGACTATAGTCCTTGGTCAACTGAACTCACACCCCCATGCCTCAATGTCCAGCCAAGCAATAAATAGATGTATAGGGGGAAAACAATACCACCGAGGCATGCACACCACAGAATGATCAACCATTTGAGAGCAAAAGGACAGCATTTACCCTAGGACAAAATTCAGAAGGATTAGGAAAGTAGGAGGAATGGAAACAAGAAACATAGGGAAGAAATGGGATAAGTGATGCTACATGGAGGAAACTGCAATCAGTGAGATGAAATGAAGTGAATGATATGTTGATTGTAAAAATGATGATCTGTTCTGTAAACTTTCACTTAATTCACAATAAAAAGTTGGGAGAGAAAAAAAAAAAGGATGAGTGCTCTTCCTCTCCATTGAAATCGTCCCATCTTTGGCTTGTGAACTCTTTTATCACTTCATTTAACTTTGAAAGGACTTGGAGGAGGGTGAGGACATGTGCTTGCTAATCATCCTTTCCCAGATTGCCTCATGCACCAGAATGGATTTTTATTATTGGTTTGTGGTTGCTACTGCTGGAGAATGATTTCAGCCTGACCTTCCCAAGCTGCTGGGGGATAAATACTGCACGTGGCTGACAGGGAAAATGTGTCTTCTTTTTTTTCTAAGCTTTTAGGCTAACTAGAGCTCACTGTGGTAGGAATGTCACCTTTCTTTCATGATGCAAAACTCAAGATACTGAATTCTTTTTGTATAAAAATTACATAGTAAAATTGATCTGAACTGGGCCACCAGGCCAAAAGCAATGTCACCTAGAACCTCACAGAAAACAGTGGCATCAAAGAACAGGACTCAAGACTGCTCCATAAGCAGAAGAGCAGGAAAGTAAATGAAAACCACTTATAAAAGCATTTCTAAATGTGAAAATGCATTCTCACAGCTGGCCTCACAACAGAGAACAAATATGTCACAAAGGGAACAACTGACAGAATAATAGAGTCCTATCCATCTGGCTGAGGAAAGAGCCACTGGTGGGAATACTGAGAAGCTTGTCTGTTCGGCAAAAGGCTTGGTGCCTCATTGGCCAAGCTGGATAGCTTTTAGGAACATTGGAACACATGGTCACACCATAGCTGGCTGGATGTCTGTGCCAGCAAGAGGCTCAGAGAAGGGTCACAATGAAACTCAGTGGCAAAAAAAAAAAAAAAAAAAAAAAGGGAGCAGAGCATATGTGGTCTCCTTACTGGCTTGGAATCTATGTTTGTGCTTTCAACTCATGAATACTCTGGCCCCTCCAACATGAGAACAGGATGAGAAGGGACGGGGACTGTGTGAACTGAATGCTTCATTTTGTGCTTTTGAAAACAGGATTGAGAGTCTCATTCTGAAATAGTAAGTTCAACCCCATGCCATGTTAAAGTCCCATTTGCACTTTTATACAATGAAGAGAGAGCCAAGTGTAGGCGCTTTGGGAGAAATCAGGCCAGACTCAGGAAAACAAACACCACTATATCTGCATCTCCAAATCAATCCTTACCACAGAAAAACCTTCTCAGAAAGAACTGCTCAAGGCAAAGGGAATTCAGTTACTAGAGAAAATCTGTCCCAATGAGGGTTCATGCTTTAAACGGAGCCAAACTGCCTAAAATTTAGCTGAATTCACTGTTTTTCTAATAGGCAGTTTCATTCATTTCAAAGTTTTCATTTCTTATTTCAAAAATCAAAATGACTTTCTGACTGAGAGATGCCTTATTATCTATCCACTCTAAAATAAGAGTTTACCAAATTTTCACCCACACAGCCTCTATATAATTCAGTGAGCCATCAGGTGGCAGAGAAGTAGAGGCCATCACTCTCTACCTAACGCACCAGCACCAGCCAATCCTTACTAGTCTTTCCAGCTGTCTGACTTCTGCCACCCCTCTGAAGTCTCAGTCACAGAATCTCAGTGCCATCAGAGAGAAGGCAGCTGCTTAATCCTAGTCACACACGAGGGTCATTCTAAGGAGCATAGTGGCTTACCTGTTCCTCTGATAGTTGGGATATGTGATTCACAGCAGCATAGGACTCAATTTTGGGGTTAAAGTGGTTGATGATGGCTCTGAAACAAAGAATTAACATTAATAAAGCAACAGTCAGAAGAAGACACAATCTGTTAAAAAAAAGATCGATTACTGTCTGGTTTAGAGAACTGGAGCATGGGAATGAACGGTAGAGGGTAAATGTCCTCTTATTGAATGTGAGGAGTTCACAAATGGGGGTGAATTGATAACTGCAGTGGACAGGGTTTCATAATTTATCAGAGAACAGAATCAAGTATTTCTGCTCTAAAAATAAACTAAGGGGGAAACACATCCCAAACAGAACAGAAAAACACATCCCAAACCAAGAGTCCTTTAGACACAAATCAAGACCCAGGACATCAGGGGGCTAACCACTAGGGGGCCCTGGTGCTTCAATCAGAAAGAAAAGCCGTTTCCTCTGCTGACTTGGGTGAACAGGGCACTCAGTAAAGCTGAGCCAAATGTAAATGCAATAGTATCTGAAGAAGCTGAACCTCATCAAAGCCTAGAACCAATCCTCATATTTGTTAGTACATATGTTTCAAGCCAAAACTTTATTTTCAGTCACTCAAATCAAAACCTAAGTGTCATTTTAAACACTCCTTCTCTACCACTCCCTCACATCCAAGGCCAGCAAGTCATAAATCATATCTACCTGTTAAACTTCTCTGAAACCGGAAATAAATTTCTCTGAAATCAATGCCTTAGTATATAGGTCTTTGTCATTTCTTTGTGGCACTGTAGGATCAGCAGTGCACTGTAAACCATAATGTCGGCAGTTCAAACCCACCAGCTGCTCCTCAGAAACCCCTTTCAGGGTCAATATGAGTCAGAACCAACTCAACGGCAACAGTAGAGCAGAAAAAGCACAGGTGTTACAATTAAACAATTAGGTGTGCAAGAGTCCATAACTGATATAAAGAAATGATTGAATAAATGAATAAATAGGGAGAAGAGACAAATATTTCATACAAAAGAATTTCAAATAATGTGTATAGATAGATACTCCACACCTGATAGGAGGTGAAGTTTAATTTCCACTTCTCTCCACCCCACCGAGGGGGGGGATAGAGCTAATGATTTATTTACAAATAGAACAGCAAAATAAGAAAAACAGTAACTGTACAAGAAAGCTAGAAACTACTACCTTAAGTGATGATGGTTTACCTCACCAGGTTTACCTCATTATGTAGATATCATGTAACTTCTGGCATGATCTGAGGAGAGCACTTTACCTTTGTTGCTTTCTTTCCAAAACCCTATTAGCTCCAGTCTTACCATGAGAAAAACATCTGACAAACCCAGATTTGAAAGTAATCTACAGGATACCTGACCAGTATTCCTCAAGACTATCAAGGTCATGAAAAACAAGAGAAGGCAGAGAAACTGTTACAGACAGAGGCCACTGGGGAAACATGACAAGTAAATGCAACATGCCACCCTAATGGATTTCCTGGAGGTGTCGTGTGTGAGGTAAGAGGCCGAGGCATAAGGAAAACAGTCCAAGATTTGTTGTTCTCTCTTCAGACTTTTTTGGAAGGAAATCTGGATAAAATCTAGAGTTTAGGCAATAAGAATGTATCAATGCCAATTTCTTAGTTTTGACAACTGCATCACGAGAAGAGAGAAAATTGGATGAGGAGATATAGGGGAATTCTGTGTACTACCTTTTCAACTTTCCTGTAAATCTGAAATTGTTGTTCTTGTTAAGTGCCATCAAGTTGGTTCTGACTCATAGGAACCCACATAGAGTTTCTGAGAAGTGGATGGTGGGTCTGAACCACTGACCCTATGGCTCACAGTTCTGGACTGCACCACAAGTTTATCTATCAAAATGTGTATGTAAGCACATGAAAGGAACCAGTATTTTCTTTAAATATATAAAGACAATAAAGAACTATAGAACCATTTAAGGTAATATAAATATAAGCCAGAAATGTAGACTACAGAACCAGAGAATTATAGAACCATTTAGGCAATACATATATGACAGAAATATAAACAAAAACAAAATAATAATAAACAAAAAAATCCCAAATAATGATGGTTTGGAATCCTGATTTGGCCACTTGCTATTCTGAATGATCTTTAGATCATTCATAGAGCACCTACCTCAGATTTGGTTCAGTGTCTGGGAACAGTACATTGTAGGCATATTTTAAATGCTTGTTGAAAGAATGACTAAAACTTAACAGAATTCTTACAATTATATAATACAGCAATGTCAAACATCTAGCACAGATAGTTGGTGCCTAATTAATATTCAATGAATGAATGAATAAATACATAAGGACAGAAATGAATAAAATAAATAAGTAGCAAAAAGAGAATTCTGGAACTTACTATTCCAGTAAATTAAGGTTGTGGATTGGTCTAAATCCAAAGTGGAAAAGAATTTTGTCATCAAGTGGCCAAATATTTTTCTCATTTAGAAAGTTAGGACAATGGCAGGGATGACATAATCCAGGAGCAGAATGGAAAACCAATAGTCTAAAAATTCAGTTATAATATAGGGGAAGCAGGTTTTGAGAGAATCTGATTGCTATGAGCCAGAATCAACTCAAAGGCAACAGGTTGGTTTGTTTGGGGAATCCCACCAAACCTAGCAGCAGTATCAACTAAGAGTTAGCTCAGGATAGGAGTCTGAGTCATAAGGTTTATCATCTGAGACCTACAGAGTTAAAGGAAAGGAACTATAGTAACAAAATCAGTCTGTCACTGTTGGTTTTGTTAAGTGCCATCAAGTCAGTTCTGACTCACAGATGTGACTCTGTATAGGGTTTCCAAGGAGCGGCTGGTGAGCTTGAACCACTGACTTTGCAGTCCACTGCATTAGTGCACAGCGCCACACCAAGACTCCAATCTACTATTACATCTTAGTTAACTTAGGAAAAAGAATCTGCACTCTGTAAATACATATATTTCATGCTTTTATTGTTGTTGTTTTCAGGATTTCCTTACATTTCTTAAGTTTTTTTGGGAAAAAAGATGCATTTTCTTTTTAAAGTTTGCCTCAAGTGGGTCTTTAGCCTAGGTTTGGAAACCACGACAGTACTCTAGTGTCTGCCTGGGTGAGCTGCTAGCAGCCACCGTGGTCCAGTTGGTAACACAGAGGAGCTGGCAAAGCTGGGAAAATGAAGTAATCTTTGGGAGTGGAATAGCTAAGAATGCTGTAATTCTGTTTCCTCACTGCCTCTGGTTTTCTCTCACCAGGACAGAAAGCAAGATAGCAAGCAAAGAGAGAAAGAAGAGAAAGAGAAGGTGAACAGAGAAAAGAACAAGGAAAGAGAAGGATAGGGAGGAGGAGAGAGGAAGGAAGAGAGTGAAGGATGCAAAGAAAAATGAAAAAATTTGGAAAGTATTATCTTTAAAAAAATACACTTATTCCTATCAAGTGTCAGCTGGTCCTATGCATGTTCTTGAAATTACAGGGCATCTATGCTCCTACTACCTGGCCAAACTCATCCTGGTAAAACACTTGTCACCCTGGGAATGATGATAAAACTACCAATCAACTTGACCTGTGTGACATTCTCATCCCAAAGCTTCAGAACTCAGCAGGTAATTAAAGACTCCCACTAGGGACTATTTGGAAATATGAAAGAAGTAGAATAGTCTACATTCAGTTAGTAACTTCTGACTTGGTACCCTCAGAGTATCCTCTGCCTTACTCATCTTCTGTTACTTTGTGATTGTTATCTGCAAAACCTGAGTACTAATTTGATCTCCTGGAGGTGCCAGGTGTGGGGCATGAGGCCAAGGGATAAGGAAAACAGTCCAAGATTTGCTGCTATCTCTTCAGACTTTTTTGGAAGGAATTTTAGAGGTCTTGGAGGTTCCCATTTACAGGTTTTAGGATTCTGTACTGTTGAAACCGAAATGTCATGAGACAGCACAGATGACAGAATACCCTCTTCTTCTAGGAGGTCTGGAGGTTGCTAGGGCTCACCTGGCTGTGATGCCACCCTACAACAGTACTCATTCATGATTCACTCAGTGGGAGAAAGATGAGGTCTCAGATTTATGGATGAGGGAGGACAGAAAAAATGGTAGTCTCTCACTCCACCACCCCCCCCCGCCCCCCACTAATTTCACCTCCATAAGGACTTATTACCATCTCTTCTGAAATTTTTTGGCGGGGACAAGGGTACCTCCTGAGAGATTCCAAGAGTAGCTCTCCCATTTTTCCTGATCAATCTCTCACAGGCAGCAACTGTCCAGTACTGAAATCTAAAATTTCAGTCTCCTAGCAAGGAAGAAATGGCAATTTTTTTTTTTCCATGAGAAGACGAATGAACAAAATATAAGTTCAATTTCCTTTGCACCCTTTCCATCCAAACCCCATCCTCCAAAAAAGGATAGGATTCAGAGAAGTGAATACCTCAGGCAGGACATATGCTTCTTATCCAGACCAGCCCGGAGCAAATGAGGTTCAAAGAAAAGTTGGTTAACTGAAAATCAGGAAAAGTATTGCATGGGTATAAGGATAGTCCTGGGGTGATGCTGTAGGATAAGCACTGGTTTTGAGCCTCAAGATTGTTGGTTCAAAATCACAAGCTGCTCCTCAGTAACCCTGTACAGAGTTGCTATAAGTTGAAATCGACTTGATGGCAGTTAAAAACATAACAATAACAGTAAGGTTAGGACAGGCTAGCCCAGAGTATTCTCACCAGGTTCCTATTAGATGTTTTACTCTCCATGGGGACCCTGGCATTTGGGCAAAGCAGGCCCCACATCAGAGCAAGTCTTTGGCAAAGGAGTAGAACAAAATTTTTTTCTCCTCCTATATGTGACTTCCTCTCTTTGTACCCTTTATATTGTAGATTAGTACTTCCTTTCCTAGAAGAGGATCATTCTTAAGTTTCAGAGCTATAAAAGGTCCAACTGTAATTGTCACAAATGTAGCCTCATGGGTTACCAGTTTTTCATTTAGAGTGGACCCAGTCTTTTGGTCTTTACTCAGAGAGAAGCAAATGGAAAAAATGAGGAGATAAAATAGTTTAACAGAAAATGTCAAGGGCAATTTAAAAAGACAAAG